GGAAATTTATCAGAATTCGGGGAGTTCATCGACAGACATAGAAGAGTCAGGACTCCATACATATTTGCTCTTAAAGGCCAACGCCTATACTATGAGCCATACAATATACGAAGGATTGAGTCTAGAAATACACCCAGTTAAGTGGATCTCTTCAGAGGAAAGAAGACAGAGAATTCGAGGAGTGAACAAATACTTCATATACAGAGCCGAAGTTTAAAGACAACGATCAGGTTGTATGTTCTTAAATGATTTTGTGAGCTCTCTCTCTCGATCTTGTATCGGTTAGATATAAGTCCATATATCTCTCGACATATAGATTGTAATTTGTAGTCATTGTCTCTTACTACCATATTAATTGTATTATTTTTATTGATTTATGTTTTAATTAAATTTATTTTTGTTTATTTGTAAAAAGAATGTCTCCTCTAGAGTCTCTGAATCAGATCTATCAAAGAATCAAACGCGTGTTTGTTTGCGGATCGGATAATTGACAAACTAGTGTCGGGACCTTGACGTAAAGAAGGTGATATCGCCATCACCGACCTCCACCTTAAAATTCGGTTTAACTAAAGACCCTCCGCCACTCGATTTCCCTTAGATTGGAAAAGGCCGTTCTTGTAGACGACAGAGAACTAGTCTTACCGACTAGCTGCCTAGTAAGTGATACAGGCGTAACAATCAACCTTGTACCCCAGGCTGGATCTCACAATTACTGCCATCGTTTAGATCAGTGTTTCTCAACCTCTAACGAATCGTCGCCCCTTCACTTCAAAATTCCGATGCCGACGGCCAAGGCTAACGATAAATTGTAAGGTACACTGGAAAAATCTTATGAATTTTGATTTCTTGATACAACTTTGCTACTAATCAGAAAGGCGAAATAAAAATTTGTAAAACATTTGTAAAAAATTACAATAAAATTTCAAACTTTCGAACGAAACAAAAGTAATTAATTTATAGAAATTCGCAGAACTTTAAATTTTTAATAAATAACTAACAAAAAGAAATTTAACTCAAACATAAGAAAAAAACCCTCTCAGTCAGATCTTCAAAGTAAGAACGTTCTAACCGAAAAAAAAGAAGAAAAAAAAACTAACGATACGATTCTGCCGATCAAAGACTTTTTCCTGCATAATCAATTCTAAAAATGATAATTGATATTGATATACACCAGAAAAGAAAGAGGGAAGAAGGGCTAAGTAAATTTTCCTAAGGGTTTTTGGCTACAACGTATCACTNGATCAAAGACTTTTTCCTGCATAATCAATTCTAAAAATGATAATTGATATTGATATACACCAGAAAAGAAAGAGGGAAGAAAGGCCAAGTAAATTTTCCTAAGGGTTTTTGGCTACAACGTATCACTTATACCTTTTCTGTTTTAATGCAGGAAATTACTTTTTTCACTTATTTTTTTTTCTTTTTTTGTTAATTTTCTAATGTTATTTGGTTTGTTTTGTATTTTTGTGGCATTTGAAAAAGGTCAAATGGCCACAGTGTCTTTTGAGAGTAAAGACATTAAAACATCATTCCATTTTAAATATGGATTAAAATCAACGTGTAACTACGTATGACAATTCGATAAATAACAAATAATTCTACTCTGTTTTTAAATAGCCTAATCTCTTTCATGTCTTAAGCAAAACAGAGTTATATGTATTTATCTGAAGACATCATATTTATCATCATAATATATATCATATTAGTAATAATTTAATGCGTAATGTATATAAAATTATAATAAATATTGTAATTTGAAACCGACTCATTATTATGTCACTGGCCATATTAAACGAGTTAATGATAAAATAATAGAATAATTAATTTTTGTATTTATTATTATTATTATTGACTATACGTTCTATAGCGTAACTGTCGTAACACGTATAAGTTCATTTTATTCATTTTGAACGTCATTTTTCATGTTTTTTCAGTCTATCAAGTGAATTTCTCTGTGATATCATTTGGAACTTTCGAAAATATTATGAAAGTACTAAAATTAATTGTACATTATTTAATGATAAAGTGTTGACACTGAGTACTGATCTAACACATGTTTCATCTATTGTTTTAATTAAAACATTTTATTTCCAAACAAAAGTCTTTATATGGAATTAGTCACATATCTTAAATAAATTATATGTATAATATTGTTATATAAGTTTAGTGAAAAAATAAAATCATGTATTTTTT